AAACTTAAGAAATCAATAGACGGGATAAATCATAAAAATATTAGCTTTGATTGAAGTCTGGTTACATGGAGATCTCTTTGATCTTTTTTGGTGTGTGTATCTTTTATTTGAAATTTTGATTGAAAAATTTTACTATTTCGGAACGGAACTGCTTTTGTAATGAAAATTTGATTATGATTGGTGTTTTAAATTTTGTTTTTTATTTTTTTTTTGTCGCATAGTCTGTATAACTTTTATTTTTTTTTTCTGTTTTTTCAAAATTCAATAAGCTTTGAAAAATTTTATAATTTTGTCTTTTTTTTTTTATTGAAGAAAGAAGATTTTGATGTTGATTTTTCTATGGAAAGATTTTTCTTTTCATATAAATTTAAACGCCATCATTTTGAATTTGAAATCTCTCGTTCTTTTATAGTGAAAGAATAAAATAAAGGATTTTTATAAAAAAGAAGAATTGGAAAAAGAGATGAGTTTTTAATGGAAACAAAATTATATTTATTTTTATAAATTTTTGTTGAAAAATATTCTTAGAAATGCATAAACTTGTAACAAAATTTTAAACAAAAAATAAACGTTAAAATGCGGAATTGTTTGATAAAAGAGTTTTCAATTGATTTTGTGCAACATCAAAAATGCAAATTTTGTGAACATTTTTTTTTCTACTTTTTAATTAAATTTAGTTTATTTATGTAAATATAATTTTTGGAATATGAAGAAAAAAATTGCACATAAACACAACAAACATTATATAGGATTTTAAACTTTTTATTAAGCCGCTTTGACGATATTGTGGCCTCCAGTACAGAAATCTTCAGGACAGGAAAAGAATAACAACCTACGAGTTTTTTTTCATAAGCACAAGCTAAATTAAAGTCTAAATTTTTTCATTTTTCAAAAGGAATTTTTTTGTTGCGAATTTTTATATAGAGGGATAACAAAATATATGATTTTTTTAAGCAAAACATTTAAAGGTCTTCTATGTTTTTATCAAGATATGCATATATGTAAACGAAAATGTCAAATGTGCCTGAAATTTATCACAAAAATATTATGGAATTCGAAGCTTAATAAGTAGACAAACGTCTACATTTCCTCTTTCTATATTAATCACAGTGTAGACATTCAAACTAGGACTTGAGTACACCAATACTGTGTTTCCCAAAAACAGAATACCAGCTGTACCAACCAACATAATAACTTATAAGTATACGAAAAAAAGCTATGCTAAAACCATGCTAAAATATCACTGCCAATTAAAAAAAATTTATTTATTTTACTAAAAAGTACTTTTCTAATGCCTTTAAAGTTTCCGGACTGCAAAACGTCCAGTTTTAATATAAAATATAAGGATTTTTAAAGCATAGTGTAGATAAGTTGCAATTAATTATAGAATTCTACCACAATGTACCCGATCCGGCTCGACTTCAATGAAGTCGACAATAAAGATAAATGTCACTGTGACAAAAATCTTGAATAGCCATATCGTCAACTTAAATCGATTTCCATAAATAAGTCCCAGATTTATGTTTGCACACCCAAATTAACGATTAATAAATTATAAAACGGGATTATTTATGTTGTAGAAATGTCTAATTTTTCTAACAGAAATTCAATTTGAATTTAAGTAATACTCCGAAATGGACGCGGTATAAAAGATGCGATTGGCAAAATTTTATTTCCGCCCGTCTGTTTTTAATAAATGCGTGATTGACATTTTAAAGAAACTTTAGCAAAAATGGTAATACTTTACTAGTTCCCAAAAATTGGGCACTTTAAATTCAAAATTCAAATACGGGGTAATTACAGTGCGACAAATTGCGGATTCGAAACGTTTGTAGGTAAGTAAATACAAGAAAAAACTTCTTTTGAAGATGCGACTATTTAAATATAGTGATTAATGGGAAATAATTCAGGGTATTCTTGGCCTTCTTCATTGACCTATTTGCTTTTCCATTGAATTTGTTTTTGCCTTTATTTTTGCATCAAATTTTATTTCGCATATAAATATGTACATCCTGTCATTGCACCAGAGTAAGATTACTCAATTTTGTGTGGATCATTATTAAAATAAAATAATTTGCTCTTAAAGTAAAAGCAGGCTTTTCTTAACTAACAATCAAAATAGAATTTACACTTACAGCATACCAACTTAAGCTTACTTACCAGCATGAAAAGGAAGATTTTGTAAAACCCACAATATAAAAATTCCAATGTGCTTATTAGATAATTTCAGCAGCATATTATATAAAAATAATTCAAAATTCATTGAATATTGTAAGGCTAGTGCTCCAATGTTGTTTAAATCTCGCTATTTATGCCATTTTTTTAATTTTTTCTATATTGCTTGCTGTATTTCTTGCTTTTAATGTTCAAATTATAAGTTTTTTGTATAAATACAATTATTCCAAAAAAGTAATGTTTTGAATAAATTTTCTAATAAAACTTTAATATTAATTTTAACGAAATATTTGTCTATGGCAAAGTGATTTGATTTTTTTAAAATTTATTATTGCGTTATGTAATTCCTTTAACAACCGATGCATACAACCGAATAACACTTACTCCAAAACCAGCCCGAATAAAGATGTAATCTAGTGAAGTTGTTACGTACAGTAAGTCCGAGTAGATGATTTTATATTTTTACGAATATGTTGGTATTTTAATACCAAACATCTTTTTAATTACAGGTGGATTTAGGTAGAGTGCATTATTGGCACTGAAATAGAATTTAGTTTAAAAAATTGTAATTATTAGCAAAATTAGCACAGTATAAATTGTTTCAATTATTTAAATTTTCAAACCCAAATTTTCAATTTTGAAGATATGCGAATCATTTTTGAACATTTTTGAACTTATCGCCGTTTTTCCGACGATTAATAGTTATTCCCAAGAAGTAATTTGACATGTTCCCAAAAATTTCGTTAACCGTTCTCCTTTTTCGGTCTGTTTAAAAAACTCATTCACCGTTCAAAAAATAAAAATAAAATTTTGAATAAACAATAAATTTAAAAAGGCGTTATTTCTCTAAAATAAAATATTTTTGTATTCTGCAATTCTGTAAACGCAGAATGGTTAGAATTCAGTTCTTAACAAAAAATAATAAACAATCGTTTTGAACTTACCCTTCGAATTGAACGTTTTCGTTAAACTAGTTTCCCTAAATATTACTCATAACTCAATAGGAAATAATTCGAATTATCTTGAATCCGACACTGGTAAATCTTCATAATCGGAGAAATTGTTAACATGTTAAGTTCAACTGAATGAAATCTACAGGGGTCTTATGCATTTTTAAAAAATTTAACTAAAAAAGAAAAAACTTATTATTTTAACTTTTCAAATTTAAAATTTATTCAAATTATATCATACGAGTATATCAATCGAAGCTTTTTATTCTAATTTCTATATAATAAGTATGTTTAATGTTATAATTAATTAATTTTATTTTTATGTACATTTATAACTATAATTTAAATAAAATTATTTAATATTTTTCAATATTTTTTTTTTCTTACATTTATTTTATATATTTATGTACATATATATATAATATAATTTTTCGTAAAATGAAAATATATAATTATAACAGTCATTAATTTTAAATTTTGTGGTTTTTTGTTTTTCTTTCTTATTATATATAAGTATACAATAATATTCTTATATATTATTCATACATATTTTCGAAAACATTATATTTAATGTTTTATTAATAATATTTCTTAATAATTAATTACTTATTTATTTTAATATTTTTATGTGTGCTCTCTATATGATCCAGTCTAAATACATCATTCATTTTATAATACTCATAAAACAGTTCTTCCTAAAATTTTACTAATAATTTTACTATAAATACTTTTTTTTTTATAATTTTTATTTCATTTCATTTTTTTGACAAATTTTAATTTTCAGTTTTACAAAAACCAAAATGTGCTATTTTTAATATTTTATACATAACCGAAACGCACTCTATCTCTAATTATCACGCGTCTATGGTAAACTGTTTTGGAAATATTCGATTGAATAACACTTAATTACTCTTGCGTAATATGTTCTTTGAACTTAGCAAATCTTAATTGATTTACTAAAAAATAACTTTATCTTAATATTTCTTAATTTTGAATAAATAAGACTTATTATTGTTGGGGGAAAAATATTAAGAAAATTTCCTTAATTCTATTAATTTGAATGCAATTCATGTCAATTGTCATATTAATAAAATTTAATAAATGTCAAATATGTGTGGACACCAACATCCAAATTGCATTAATACGGTTTTACTGTACACACAAGTCAGTAATTTGAAATACCACTCATATAATATATGCATGAGACTACCTTGCGATAATTAAGTTTTTCTAAACTATGATTAAAAATTATTTTTGACATAGTTTTTTTTGGACATACTTTAAATTAATTCTGGCCTATTACTGTTAATAACTTTTATAATTTTTTATTGTGTTTTTTTTATAAATTTATTGGTTTTCGTATGTTTCATATTGCAACAGAATTAAAATTTTAAAACCATTGCATTGCGGAACTTAAGATTTGTCAATTATTTCATAAATAATTATTGTATAAAATGAAATGAACTCTAATTATGAACTCAATTTATAATTGAACAGCACTTTGAACTTGCTGAACTGAATTTTTTCTCAACGATAGTACATTAATTTGGATTATGTACTATAATTTAGTTTTTTAAGGTTCACTGAAGAAGATTTCTATTGAAACATTAAGTTTTAAACAAACTTTAATTATTTTCAAAACTAAAATATCAAACTTCTAAAACAAAAATAATACTTTTTCATAAAAAAAATTTAAATAATCGCCTTTTAAATACTACTAACTTGCATTTAATTATTTAACTTCATTCTATGATCTACTAATATTTAATATTCTATTTTATCATTTAATTACATTTTTTATTTTAGTTTCAAAAAAACAAAATTTTAAAATAGTTAATAAAAAAAAATCTTTGCCAATATTCTAATTAATTATTTTTAAACACCATATTTAATTCCATAATCCTGATAATGTCCAACATGGTGATGAGATCTATAATGACCAGCTAAATTACCTAAATTACCTGCTGATAAATGACTACTAATAACTGCTGGTGGACTAGCTGAATTTAAACTACCATTTGGGCTACTTGTATCCATTTGACAATTTGTTGTTTGTTCAAATACCATATCACGAAAACCGCCAACAACACTTGTTGTTACCGATGGGCTTGTTGTATTATTGTTATTATTATTAAGTACAGATTCTGGTGGTGTTTCAGGTGTATACCAACCACCATGATGATGACCAGCTGCTGTCGGATGTGTATGTGGATGATGATGGTGATGATGATGATGATGTGGATTAATATGATGTGAATGATGACGTGTTAATTGATGTGCAGCACTAGCTGCTGCTGCTGCAGTTGCCGCTGATGTTGATACTAAATTTTCTTCATTTAAATGATGATATGGATATGATCCATGATGTAATCTTGGATTATATACAGTCATTAATGAGTCAACTGTAAAACCATGTTCAACTGCTGTACTACCTAAATGATTCATTTGTGCTAAACTATCATGGCATGAATTTAACATTGTTGCTGAACTTAATTGATTATCTTTTGATATACATGCTGTACCAATACCATGATGTGGAACTAAATGATCAGTACCAGGTTCTCTTTTAAAATGTTGTTTTGGATCTAAATGTATACCATTTGTCATTAATTTTAATGGTTTGATATCAGCTAATTTTTCATCTAACATTAATGTTTGACGTTTAATTGCTTCCTCTTTTTCACGTAATGCATCTTTCTTTTTAAAACGTCGACGTCGACGTAAAAATGAACCATTATCAAACATATTATATGAATCTGGATCTAATGTCCAATAGCTACCTTTACCTGGTTTTTTATCATCACGTGCTACTTTAACAAAACATTCATTTAAACTTAAATTATGTCGTATAGAATTTTGCCATCCTTGTTTATTATCACGATAATATGGGAAACGTTCCATAATATATTGATAAATACCATTTAATGTAATTTTTTTATCAGATGAATTTTGTATTGCCATTGCTATTAATGCAATATAAGAATATGGTGGTTTAACAATTTCTTTATTTTGATGTGGTGCTGTTAATGCATATGCCGCCGCTGTACCAGGATATGGATAACGTGAATATTGATCATATGCATAATGTGCTGCTGTTGGTGCCATTGTTGATGCTGCCGTCGGATAACCAGCTGTTTGAGCGTAATGTCTTGAAAATGAATTTTGATCGGTGAATAGAGTATGCATTATTGTAAATGCTTTTTATTTTAAAAAAAAAAGTAAAATTATATAATTTTTTTTTATTTTATATTAGCACAGTTTTAATTTTTTTATGTTTATAATTCCAAAAAAAATTTAAAATCACAAATAGATTGACACGAACTATTTAGTTTTTTTTTTTTTTTTGTTTAATAGAATCAAACTGTTAATTAGAACTGTTATATAACGTGGTGCTCAAACTCAATTTTAGTATATACTATTTTCTTCCATTTAAGTAAATAAATTTAGTTTTTTAATATTAGTTTTTTTTTTAAATATAATTAAGTGAAATTTGTGTATTTTAATTTAGCAATTATTCCCACAATTTTGAATTCAATTTTTCACAAATATTTTTATATTAAAAATTTACTATAATTATATTTTTTCTTTTTTAACTAGTATATTTAAAATTGTCTCCGAATTATTTCTAATAAAAATATTATTTTGTCTAATATTCAAAATAATATTTATTTTATACACCTTAAAATAATAATAATTATTATTTTAGCACTTTTTTTTATATGATTACGTGGACGAGGTTGTATAACTCAATTGGTGTGTAAAATTCGATAATTTGTTTTTTGTGTTTTGCTTTTTTTTTATATATTTTATTACACTAAGTGTTTTATAGTAAGAGAATGGTGTTTTATGTGTGATTTCTTATTTAAAATTTGTTTATATTTTAAATATTTCGAATTTAAATGGCTGTTCGTACCAACAAAATTGAAATACTTTCGTTATACTTAATCGTAAAAGAATTTTTTTATTCTTGGGGTACGCACCACGCTGATATTTTGGTTCGAAACACTGTTTTTCTCTTATATATTACAAAAAAATTCAATTGTTTTTTGATATTTTTAAATATAAGTGTAAATAATGATTTTATTTAAATCATTTTAAATTATACTTGTATATACGAATAAATATTATAAAGTGCAAATATCAGATTTTTTAGTTATAAATCAACATTATCATTTTATTTTATAATTTGTCTATGTGTTGGATTGTTTATACGTTCAAGTCGAAATCTATATTCTATATACCGTGTAGTAAAACTTCTTTCTTTAAAATAAAAACCATAAAAATAAAAAAAGAGAATCCACTTTTGTTTTTTTAATTTTTTCTTATTATCTTTCTTTTTTTTTTCTATAACAATTTCGACACTTAAAATTAAAATATTATTAAAAATAATATTATTATTTTTTGAAAAAATATTTTCAAAATTTTTTTATATGTAGGCATGAATCATATATATGAAAGATAGCACACCAAAAAAATTATAACATCCGTTCAGATTTGTAACACGTAAGATACTGAATTTTTCCTTTCTTAAGATACTCTTGTTATTTTTTCTGGTTTGTTATTTTATTTTTATTTTCATTTCTGTTCTGTTGTTGTTATTATTATTTTTTTTCTTTTTTGTATTTTTGCTTTAAAAATTATCAATCACATACAAGATTTATATAAGAAAATATTATTATACTAATGCACAAGTGGTATACACATAATATGCGCTACATCATTATTTTGGGTGAATTACAAAAATATTTCATCTTCTCCTCAATTGAAGCAATACAAAAATAAACATACCCTATATTTATGTACAAATTTTACGCACACATATACAGGGAAATTTTATATTTATATAATATGTAAAACGAAATATACTGGGTATTTAAGATGGGTAGGTATTTGTTCCATTCTTTATTAATATTTAATTCCATAATGGACTTGACAGAGTATATATGTACGTACATATAAATACTTGGTGTTGCACTAAAAGACATATGTACGTTCAGTATATATAAATTCCTGATGTGCCTTATGTACTATAATTCCCGTGTTTTGTCTTATTGATGTGAATATAATACTCGTAAATTATATATAGATATACGAGTATAATGATGTGTATGCTAGTTTCTGATGTTATATTTAAAGAAAAATGCACATGTGAACGTAAAAAAAATATCTATAATATAATTAAGTATAACAATAAATAAAAATATTTCAAATTAATTTTAGTTTATTTTTGATTTTTCACTTTTTAACTATGTTAATTCAATATACAAATACGTAAAAAATTAATTATACAGAAAATCCTTTATTTAAGGGTTATATATACTTATAGCATTCTGCAATATATACATACATACGTAAATATTCTAAATTACTTCAGAGAAATTGATTTAATTTTCTAAGGTATGGAGTAAATACTAACATACATATAAAAATAAGTATTATACGTATACATAAATATTTAAGGCTTATTTTTTATTAAAAACCGAAATGAATGTTCATAAACTAATCCTCGAAAATACTCTTTTATATATAGGCTCTTAGCAATGTTATACATTAAGAGTGTTATATATCCTTAAATGGAACGGCAAAAATAAGACTAGAAATAGATAAACTGTTATACCGTTGTATTAACTGTTATATTAACTGTTATACTGTTATAAAAATGTTATTACGAGTATACAAAACTTGCGTAATATGTTAGTATCTAAGTACTTTATAATAAAAAATATATGAATATCATCTATAATATAACAGTTATAATATTGTATTATAACGGAACTTACATTGATAAATTTTAAAACACGCACACAAAATAAAAAAAGTAATTTATCAACGGTACTTTCAATATTTAAGATAGTATTTGTTTGATTTGCGAGTGTATTTACAGATTTACATTGTATACCTTAAAATACTTGTGTTTGTTTCCATAATAATAATTTTTTTACACATTTTTGCCAAAAGGGTCTACCAGAAATATGTTGGAAACTATCGTTAGATAAGTATACGTATGTATGTATGTATGTGTATTGATTTACTTTTTATATTTTCTTTTTGCTTTTCCTTTTTGATAGTTAGACTACGGAGACAATAATAAATATTGAAAAACTGAGAAAATAAAAAAAGGAATAATAAAATAAATATATAAATGACACCCCTGAAGCAATTTTTTTTTTATTGTTTTGACTACGCGTAGGATTCCTTTAGGTTAAAAAATGTCATTAATATACAAAAGTACTTATACATAACATTTGATATCATGAATTGATTGCATTAATATAGATACAATAATATACATACATATATGCATTTGAATGTATGTACATACATACCTTTGTACATGTCGCATGAAATATTAGCCTTAATAAAGTTTTTATTAAAGAACCGCCCGCCTTCTTGTTTTGAATTGGGTAAAATCAAAATATTTTCTTTTCGATTTTTTTTTTCTGTTTATGAAAAGTTTGAGATTTGCTTTATGTACAATATATGTACGTTTGCATCGTATGGCTATATACAATGTACATGTAGATAAATTTACGTAAGTATGTATGCAATAATTTTTATAAATATACAAAATACTATGTTAAATATATGTATAAGAGAATGCATTAAAAATTGAAAATTGCAATATTTTTGTTATTGATATCTTTATTATGTTATTTTATTCGTTTTTTAAATACGATATTGAAGAGATTTTGTTGAAATAACGTAATATTTTTTTTAGGTTAAGAAAATTTTTAGTTTTCCATCATTATAATATGTATATGTGCCTTATGATGTACATTCCATACATATATACATATACACGTATATACATATATAGGTTGAGGCTGCGGTTATAGAAATTATTCAATTAGTATAAGTCCATTAATTTCGAAGTGATTTTCATTTAGAATAAATTATAATGTTTATATTTTTAATATACTTTATATGACAGTGATAAATATTTAATTTGAAATGAATTGAAAAATCTTTTCTTTCTTTCAAAAAATAAAAACAAATTTAGTGTCCGTGATCATTCAATTATAATAAAGCATACTTCAAAAAGCTTCGAGGTACTAGTTTCGTAGTTGGGAGAAGTATGCAAATATTAAGCTGTTTTGTATATTAAAATCCTGTCATATGGGAAAGAAAACTATAACCTATAAATTTTAATATTGATGATTTGATGTTTACATTCCTTACCAAAATGTAAGGTCATCTAACTTGAGAGAGGGTCGAGCTGAAAAAGAATTTTTTTCTAACGAAGTGAACTATATATGAAAATACAAGAGCTACTAAAAGTTCAGACTAAATAACAGTAAATTTTAATGACAATTTTGTTTTTTAATAAATATAAAAGTTCAAATATGGTATGCCGCTGCAGGAGAAGCCAGCCACTGATTTGCTACGTTTGTAAAACTTAAAAAATATTTCTGTTTTTTGATACAATAATTACTTAAAAAATTAAAGACTTTGAGGGGCTATAACTTTTAGAGGTGGGAGTAAAGCAAAAATTTTCTTCTAAACAAAGTTTCTAATAAAGATCTGTGTACATATAATATTTTCTACATATGAAAAGGTCATAGATTTCTATCTTCAATTTATTTTACAATTTTTTAAATTGACGGAAACTATTATTCGACATATTATTATTAAAAATCAATAACATAGAGTATTGGCTACAATTATAAATGCTATTCATTGCTATATACATATATTGCTTTAGTATATATGTATTATATGAAATTCAATAATGAATATAATAATTTAACATTAAAGCGTACATCATCTACAATCCCATTCATATATATATACATTTGCCAAACGTATATATGTATGTACAAATCCATAATGTATAGTGCATACTTCCATTCGATATTTTATACATATTTTAATTTACAATATTCGCCCCAGATACACTATACTATTTTATGTAATTCTATATATAAATAACCCCTCTGTACATATAAACATTTAATAACAATGTAATATTATTATTATTAAATATCATTATATATACATATGAATGTATATACGCAACTCAATTTATGTTATATGTGAAAAATCATCATATAAAATAATATTTTTTATTAAAAAGGTGCATTGATTGTGTCTCTATATTATGAAATTTTATTAATAGAAATTGCATTTTACTATATTTATTTTTTTTTTTACTTTTTTTGTTGGTTTTGTTTCTTTGTATTTGTGAT